GTTAGGAAGTGTTCCTCCTTTTCAATTTTTTGGAAGAGTTTGAGATGGATTGGTGTTAATTCTTTAAATGTTTGATAGAATAGCACTAAGATTTTGTATTTAAAAAAAACACGTATGGCGGTTTTTTGGGGAAAAGGTACAGGATGTGTTAATTGACCAGTTGTGAAACATTTTTTTGCTTGTAATTTATGCTGTTTTAGGTTACAAGCTCTTTGAAGGAAAGGGTTTATCTCAAAATACTCTGAAGTTCCTATAGTGCCTAACATAATAAGAGGTCATATCTGGTTAACATAGAACTTTTCCATAGGTTAGGAAAAAGTTGATGTACATTGTTGGTTTCTGTAATCTGGAGTTTCTGGTAAAGGAGATTGAAAATGTAGTTAAAGGTTGAAAAGAGTTTGGGAATTAAGCATTTCAGGGATCAGGTCTTTCCTTTGAGATTATATGCTGCTTCCTTTTTTTTTTTTTTTTTTAAGTGCAATCTTTTCAAAAATTTTCTATCATTTTTGAACCTTGTCTATTAAGGAACCAAAACCCATTGTCATCGAGTCGATTCTGACTCATAGTGAGGAGACAGAAAAAGCAATAAGAAAATGGACTATTGTTTGATTGGATATGCAGTGATGAAAGCCTAAAGAGTATTGTTTTTCAAGTTGTGATTAGTGTAGACATTTTTATTAACCATCCCTTTTGTGTAACCGTTGGATTCATTTTTGAGTGCTTGATCTTGAAAAAGAGCAAAGGTCCTTTTAGTGTTGAATTCTAAATTCTAAATACCTTGTGCTTAAAATGGCAGAATTAACTGGGGCAGAGATTGCTACTCATTTTAAGCCAAATTCATGATTTCCAGTCTCTGATCCTCACCTCCATTTCAGTCTTTTTACTTGCATGTATGTTTCCTTGGGGCCCTGGTGGTACAGTGGTTAAAGAGCTCGGCTGCTAACCAGAAGGCCGGCAGTTGGAATCCACCAGCTGCTCCTTGGAAACCCTGTGGGGCAGTTCTGCTCTATCCTGTAGGGTTGCTATGAGCTGGAAGCGACTCAGTGGCAGTGAGGTTGGTTTTTTGGTATGTTTCCTTATTTAACAGAGAAGACGTTATGTTATCTTATACATCTTTAGATGCACACAGTACTTAGCATTGTATATGGACCATAAAACCAAACCAAACCCATTTCCCTCGAGTTGATTCGTATAGACCATAAAAAAAAAAAAAAAAAAACTCGTTGCCCATTGTAACACTGCAATTCTGGCAAGTGCTGGGAATGAGAAGTACATGATAGTAAGAAGTTATTAATAAAATAAGGTGATTTGATATAGTCATGGAAGCTTTCTCAAGAGGCGTATAAGATGGGTAGTAGTTTGCTGGGGGGAGCGGGGAGGCAGGAGGTAAGGAGAAAGTGTTCCATATAGGAAAACACCTGTGATTGGAGGGAGTAGCCAGTGTGGCTGGAGGCCTGATTGAGGGGAAATTTGATGTGAGATGAGGCTGGTGTGGGAGACCATGGAAGGTATATACATATAGATCTACTAGTAGTTGGCTTTTATCAAAAAATCAACTTTTTAAGCAAGGAGGAAGGCTTGGCCAGTTAAAAGGCTTACGTAGTAATTTAATAAACAATGCTTGCTTCAAGGTGGCTATCGACGTCTGTTAGACATGGAGACTAGATAAATTCAGGAGATATTTAGGTGATACAGTAATAAGACTTACTGATGTTTGAATGAAGAGGGATGGAAGAAGGGAAGTTTCAAGGATGATTTGTAGATTTCTGGCTTGGTTAAACAAATGGTTAGTGGTGGTGTCACCAGGGGCACTTGTAGGAGGCAGGAGGAAATAGATCACGAATTTAGTTTTGGTGTGTTGAAGACATCTAAGAAGAGATCTAAAATTTGCAATTAGAAATCTAGGTCTAGGGCTGAAAGTAGAGGTCTGGGCTGGTGGTGATAATCTGTGAGTAATTTGTATATAGGTACTCGCTGAAACCACGACTATAGATGAGATCATCTAGAGAGTATAGTGAGATGAGTAAATGGTTTACAAATTCCCTAAACTTCTGTTTATCTGGAAATGCCCTAATTTCACCATCATATTTGAGAGACAGTTTTGCTGGATATATAATTCTTGGCTGGCAGTTTTTTTCCTTCAAGGCTTTATATATGTCATCCCATTGCTTTCTTGCCTGCATGGTTTCTGCTGAGTAGTCCGAGCTTATTGTTATTGACTCTCCTTTGTAGATGACTTTTCTTTTATCTCTAGCCGCTCTTAAAATTCTCTCTCTTTGGTTTTGCCAAGTTTGATTAGAACATGTCTTGGTGACTGTTTTGGGATCTACCTTATGTGGGGTTCGATCAGCATCTTGGATATCTTGTCATCTTTCACGATATCAGGGAAGTTTTCTGCCAACAAATCTTCAACAATTCTCTCTGTATTTTCTGTTATCCCCCCCGTTCTTGTACTCCAGTCACTCATAGGTTATTCCTCTTGATAGAGTCCTAAATAATTCTTGGAGAGTTTCTTCATTTTTTAAATCGTTTTATCTGATTTTTCCTCAAAGAAGTTGTGTGTCAAGTGCTTTATCTTTAGTCTCACTAATTCTGACTTCCATTGCCTACATTCTGCTCCTATGACTTTCTGTTGAGTTGTCTAATTCTGAAATTTTATTGTTAATTTTCTGGATTTCTGATTGCTACCTCTCCGTGGATTCTTGAAGCCTGTGAAATTTATCATTATGCTCTTCTCTAATCTTTTTTATTTTCTCTATTGCGTGTTCTGCGTTTTGCTTAATTTCCTTCCTAATCTCTCGAAGAGTTCTGTATATTAATCTTTTGTATTCTGCCTCTTGTAATTCCAAGAAATTTTCCTCCGCTGGAAAATTTCTAGATTCTTCATTTTGGGAGCTTCCTGAAGCCATCATGGACTGCCTGTTGATACGATTTGATATTTACTGTTGTCTCCGAGCCATCAATAAGTTCTTATGTTTATTTATTTTATGTTTGCTTACTGTCTCTTAGCTTCTTGTTTTGTTTTGATATGCCCAAATAGGCTGCTCGTGTGAGCTAGTTTGATTATCGGCACCTTTGAAGCTCTAATGTTCTGTCACCAGGTGGTTAGATCTGTTACTAGGTATGTAAGCTAGGGAGTTCGCCCACTCCTCCTGTATGGATTCAGCTCAGGTCCCCAGGTAGATAGCCACCAAGTGTGTGGTACAGGCTCTTAACTACAGTCCTATACAGGCATGGGTGATTGGTATAGGCACAGGCATCTGGCTGCAGCAGGGGAACATGCTGAACAAGGCAGGGGTCTGACGGCCGCCCCCGAATGTCCAGGAGGAAGGCGTGTCCCTGTTTGCTAGAGCGCGTAGGTGGGTGGGTTTTGCAGCCGGACTGAGCACCCAGTGCTGTTGGGTGTAAGGACTGGGGGGCACATCTTATTCATGAGCCCCTATCACAGGTGGCTAGGTGGCATGGGTGGAGCCACCAGTCCTCAGGCCCCTGATGTGGGTAGGTGAAGACCCTGCTTAATGGGCAGAGCAGTGTCAGATATCAAGAACCTGATACTTCACAGCTGAAACAGTTGAAATTAGAGTTCCAGTATATTTGTTGTACTGCGGTAATAAGGACCTGTGCTGTTGAAATGGGCCCACATAAGTCTATGCAGGGGGAAAGGCACTCAAAGTCCGTAGATCCCTTATGCCTGTGCCTAGGCAAAGGAGCTGTGCCTACCCTGAGTTCCTGGCTTAGGGGAGTCAGCAGTTTATTTTTTCCCATTTATTTGTTCACTCTCCAAGGCCGGGAGAATGGCTCAGGGCATGTGACAGATCCTGCTTCCGGCCCAGGGGACTCAGCAATTGCTGAAGCTGGTCAGGGACCCAGTGCAGAGCAGGGAGCGGGAAGGTAAATGAGAGAGAGGTTTACCCCTAAGCGGGGGGTTGTTTTTGATCCAGGTGGTAGGCCAGACGCAAGTACTTATCTTTCACTGATCCAGGGCTGCTTCTCACTGGTTCTGGGTAGCCGAGTAGACTCTGCTGCTGGGTCTCTCCTGGTGCGGAAAACACCTCCCAAGCACCGTTGCTTGCTTGCCTCACCGCTCACCCATGAGCTGATCAGCCCTGAAGGGCTCAGGCTCTTGCCAGGTCAGGTCTGGCAACTCCTTGCTGCTTCCAAACCATCTCTCCCTCCTTCTGCCATTCAGTCCGGTTCCTCAACTTTGCCGTTGATGTTCAGGGCTCCCAGATTGTCTCATAGAATCGATTCACTTGTTTTTTGGGGTTTTTGTTGTGAGAGGGTCCACCGGAAGCATCTGACTACTCTGCCATCTTGGCCTCTTCTCCTGATTGCGAGTAAATGGTTTAAAAAAAGACAATGAAGAAAAGCCCTTTTGAAGAATGTTTCGTGAAGAGTGAATGGTCAAGTATGTCAGAAATGACTCATTTTACTGGTGTTTTTAGATATACAGTGCAGGTAGGGAACTTCTGGAATTTCAGCCTTAGTATTAATTTCACATAGTCTGCCTGTCAAGTGCCAAAAATATATTAATACCTGACATTTTCAAATATTTGTAAAATTACAGGGCTACAAAAATTGCTACTTTCTGTAAGCAGAATCACTTTTAGCCATTTTTTGTTTCTCTACTTTCTAGACTGATCATAACATCAGTCTAGAATGGACTGAATATTTTTAAATGTTTGCATTTAGTTCTATTTTATAATTCTGTGACTGAGTAGAAGTGGTGTATTTAAAACCTTTACCTCAGTTGTATTTTTTTTGACATTTGTGTGCCACAGTGCTCTCCACAAGTAAAAATTGACACACAAACAGAAATCCCAAAGATTTTCTATATAAGGGTTTTTTCCCCTACTTTCATGTTTGTATAGTCATCATCTAGTGTGGTGGTCTGCATATAATAGGTGCTTAAAAAATGTATTCTAAATTGCCAAATTAAGGTGTTGAGAGAGTTAAAACACAATTTTAATATTATATGTATTTTCTCTTTATTTTCTTAGGATGGCTGGCTGTGGTGAAATTGATCACTCAATAAACATGCTTCCTACAAACAGGAAAACGAATGAGTCCTGTTCTAACACCGCACCTTCTCTAACTGTCCCTGAATGTGCCATTTGTCTACAAACATGTGTTCACCCAGTCAGTCTGCCTTGTAAGCATGTTTTCTGCTATCTGTGTGTAAAGGGAGCTTCATGGCTTGGAAAGCGATGCGCCCTCTGTCGACAAGAAATTCCTGAGGATTTCCTTGACAAGCCAACCTTGTTGTCCCCTGAAGAACTCAAGGCAGCAAGTAGAGGAAATGGAGAATATGCATGGTATTACGAAGGAAGAAATGGGTGGTGGCAGTATGATGAGCGCACTAGTAGAGAGCTGGAAGATGCGTTTTCCAAAGGTAAAAAGAGCACTGAAATGTTAATTGCTGGGTTCCTGTATGTTGCTGATCTTGAAAATATGGTTCAATATAGAAGAAATGAACATGGACGTCGCAGGAAGATTAAACGGGATATAATAGATATACCAAAGAAGGGAGTAGCCGGACTTAGGCTGGACTGTGACTCTAATACCGTAAACCTAGCAAGAGAGAGCTCTGCAGATGGAGCGGACAGTGTATCAGCACAGAGTGGAGCTTCTATTCAGCCTCTAGGCTCTTCTTCTGTAAGGCCCCTAACGTCGGTAGATGGTCAGGTAACAAGCCCTGCAACACCATCGCCTGATGCAAGCACTTCTCTGGAAGACTCTTTTGCTCATTTACAACTCAGTGGAGACAGCATAGCTGAAAGGAGTCATAGAGGGGAAGGAGAAGAAGATCATGAATCACCATCCTCAGGCAGGGTACCAGCACCAGATACCTCCATTGAAGAAACCGAGCCAGATGCCAGTAATGATACTGAAGGTGTATCTGCGCTTGTTGCAGAGCACTCCCTGACCCAACAGAGACTTTTGGTTCCTAATGCAAACCAGACAGTATCTGATCTATCAGATAGATCTGGGACTGATCGATCAGTAGCAGGGGGTGGAACAGTAAGTGTCAGATCTAGAAGGCCTGATGGACAGTGCACAGTAACTGAAGTTTAAATAAAAGTCTTTAGCCCATGCTCAAGGTTGAAATGGTTCTCTGTAAATTGCTGCCCACGTAGCATTATACTCATCCCTAGTAGTGCATTGTTGGGGTGGGAAGGGGTCTAGGAAGGATAGACCTGTAATTAAAATGTCTAACACATCTCTGTCTTTTGAGAAATTTATTTAATGTAAGGAGCTTGGGTATTAATAGTTGAGAGCTGTTTAGTAATAACCCAGTTTTCTTGAGGTCTGTTTATTTTATAGTTTTTTCTTTAGTTCTTTTGGCCAGTGTGTATATTACCTGTGCATTAACAGTCCTCATCCGATTCTTGCATTGTCTTATTTTTCTGCATGGATTGACGTAAACTCATTAATAAAATTTGGTGCCTATGAGATGTTTGCTATCAGTATGAGCAGGAAGCTTATTAATGTGAGAATAGATGTGAATTTGGAATTTTAGAATAACAACCATTTTATAGTAGTTTCTGAAATGGAAATGTAAAGAAAACAGCTAATAAGTTTCAGAATCTTCTCTGTAACACTTAATGGTTTCCATAGGCTTTGCTGTCTAGTCCTTGTAGTTTGAGGTTTCTCTTAATCAACATTTTTGACTACAAATTTATAATTTAATAAATACTACAGTTTACCAAAAATAATTTGTTTCTTGTTTGAGTCTGGATAGGGGATGGAAACATTTTGACATTTAAGCAGGGTTCTGAAAAGGTGGTGATTTGAATTGGTGCTGTTCAACTTAAAAATTGTCACCTGCTCAGAAATGTTTTATTTCTTAATAGAGGATATTTAAGCAGAATCTACAGGCAGTGTTTGTGGAATAAATACGTATGGAAATAAAACTAAAGCGTGAGAGACTGATATTTCATAGGTGATAATGGAGACCAGAAATATTTCACATTTTCCTTACGAGTCATTAGTGGTCTAACACTAATCTGGATTAAATGGTAGGCATAAACACCATTAGTGGACACAAATTCACTTTACACAAAATGTTGTGAACCAGAAGATCCACTTTTATTTGGCAGTTTTTATAACCTATGACAAGGTAGGAAGTATTACATTAATCTGGTAAAACAGCATTTGGCTCTGAAAAAAGTAATTTGCTCTATTTATACAGTAGGATCATGATGATAAAGCATACACAAGTTATGAACATAATTTTCAAATGTGAATTTTATGCTGTAATAGCAAATTACTTTGAAATTATCTTTACCTCTTGTGCATAAGTTAGAATTGAGACTAAAATTCTTTGACTTACTCGTTTTTAAAAAGTGTTAATGAGATAATTTAAGAGCTAGTTATAAAAGAAAGGTTAGCTTTTTTTCAGAAAAAAACAGAAATCTGATACAAACACAAATTTGTTACAGGAGCTTTGTGAGTCTCTTTAAAGAGTCTCATAGTGCTTTGATGTAAGATGACACTTTAAAAATATGTAAACAGTAGTCAAAAAGCCAGTTGCACTCAAGTTGACTCTGACTCATGGCCACTCCATGTATGTCAGAATAGAAATGTGCTCCATATCAGATGTAGACTGCTGAGTCTTTCTTCCGAGGTGCCTCTAGGTGGACACGAGGCTCCAAATTTGGTTAGCAGCCGAGTGCATTAACTGTTTACATTACCCAGGGACTCCTAAGCTCTTCCTATATGGGCAGCTATCATTATTTTGAAGATAACAAAATAGAAAACTAATTACTAAAAAGATCAAATAAACAAGGTTCCAAATTTGTAGTGGAGGGAGTGATTTTTTTAAAAAAAAGGGTAAAAGAAACACCATGATTTTTACTCCAGCAGCTTGGAGCAGAAGAAAATGACTGCTCATACCCCCCTCCCCTCTTTTGTTTTTAATTGCAAGTTCAGTTATTTTTGTAAATAAAACGAGACAAAGACTTTATGGAAAATAACCCTGGGAATAGATTTTGTGTAGAAGTTACTCCTTTTTAAAAATGATTATTGGTTATAGGCTAAGAACCACTGTAGGAATGTGAGAATTGATAACCAATTTTTAAGCTAAATATGTTATATATTTCATTAAAATGTCCCCATTTACTAGGTAAATAAGTACACTGAAAATTAAGCCAGAGTTCAGGTATTAAAAACATTAGAAACACTGAAATAGTAGTAGTAGCCTTCAAAGTAATTCTAGCATTTAACTTTTATACATATTAACCACTGAAGCTTTACTTGTAATACTTCACATTTTTTAAAAACGAATTATTTACTAGATTTTCCTTTCCTAGCAACAGCCTCTAAATTTGCGGGTCCACCCCAAACTGTCCCTACAAGATCTCTTTCAGTCAGTAATGCCTCCTCTAAGCGTAGCTCTCTGCCTGAAGAAACAGACTTTTTCAAAGCTCTAATTATTTCTGGTGGCCCTTTGATAAACTGCTGTAGCCATTCTCGTGCCTCTTTTAGAGACTGAGTTTCATCTGAAGACTGCAAGACCTCGTCGACCAGTCCTATGTTTAAAGCTTTTTCTGAATCCAGTTTGAAGGCCCCAGTTAACACTTTGAGAGCTTGTCTACTGCCGATTATTTCAATCAACCGGGTGGTGCCACCCCAGCTTGGTATTAAACCCATCTCCTTATGGATAAATCTGATCTCACTTCCTGGAGTCATTAACCTAAAAAAAGAAAGAAAAAAACAATTGCAACTGTATGTATCTATATATATATATATATACACACACACAAACATACATACGTACTTTAAATTAGTACCCACCCACTCATGGTCTAATCTGAAGTCACAGATCTTTATAGTAGATATGCTAAAAAAATGAATGTTCAAAAAATCTGGCTTTTAAGTCTAGAATTTAGTTTATTACACAGTATTTAAAACCCTTGAAAACAATGTCAACATTTTTGTTTTGCTTGCTTATCCTTTACTTTAGAATGTAGTCTAAGTTTCTTTCTAAAAGTCCAAGTGTTATCTTTGGTCTAATTTTGAGAATACCTAGACTAAGCGGAAATATGGGAGTATGGAAATGTTAAGTACATGCCATCAAGAAAGAACACCAAATTAATGTCCTCAACAGTCTTCAGAAAAAGAGACTTCACTTTTTAATCTATCATCTGTCCATCCTTCCAGCAAATATTTACCAAGCACTTCCAATGTCGGGTGGTAGCTTAGGTGCTGGGGACTGCAGGAATAATCAAAATAAAAGCCCTGTGCTCAGGAGCTTTCATTCCAGTTGAGAGAGGCACCAAACAATATGCCAGTGGTGATAGTGCTATAAAGAAAAAAACGAGGCAAGGAACTAGAGAATAGGTGTTGGGATGTGTTATTTTAGATGGAGGAGGCCTCTGAATATGTGAGCAGCTTGCTGAGGGAGTGAGCCATGCCAAGATTTGGGGGAAACGTTCCAGAAAGGGAATTGGAAGTGAAAAGGGTAGAACTGCTTAGTGTCTGGGGAACAGGCCAATGCTGCTGGAACAGAGTAAGCAAAGGAGAGTAATGGGAGATGAAATCAGAGGTAGGCTTATAGGTCTTAGGAGTTTAGATTTTATTTATTCAGTGTGAACCTATTTATAGAAGGTTGAACATCTGACTTGTTTTATAAGGGCTGCACTGTGAAAAATTTTTAGCATTTAATAGCACACCAGTTGTTTAAGGAACTTTATAAAATGTTAACTAATCCTTAAACAACCCTACAAGGTAGGTTCAGTACTATTATTATCCTCAATTTACAGATGGGGAAACAGGTTAAATAACTCACTCAAGGCCACAAAGCATATGACAGAGCCAGGATTCAAACCCAGGCAGTTTATCTTCAGTAGGTATGCTTTAACCTCTTTTCTATACCCTCTCCCCTGCTTCCCATATGGTCTATACAACAGTTAGCTGGACAAGCACGGATACCAGTAAGAAAGTCCATAGTGGCTTGAGCTGAGCTGATAGCAGTAACTTTCTGTACCAGGGGCTCATTTTCCCCAAATCTGGGGATTTTTAATAAAAAGGGTATTTAATAATCAGTACTAAGTTAAACAGTTAAGGGGAGTTAACACAAAGAAATTGGAAGGCATAGCAACAGGCTTTACATTTGCCAGTTAAGTATTTGTATTTGCCAGTTAAGTATTTGTATACTATCAAAAGACAGCCAGGCTATACTGTTAAGGGAATGCTGCCTATTGGTTTTATTAGAACTGCATGCTTCAATGAGAAGCTTTATTATGTCAAAACTCTAATTTGGACCAAAAGTTATGTCTGAATTATACTTTTTTAGGAAAATTTACTGCTTTCAAATTACTCATTCCAAAGACAAGACCTTCAGTTAGTTTGGCTTTCCAAGGTGTTCAATGCTCAACTGCAGGTGTGTGGTTCCATTAGCACCAAGAACAACAACAGACTCTTATTCTTTGACCTTTTAATCAGGAGAAATACCCCAACAGACAATTCTCACAAAAGCCTATTTATCAACCCACTGGGAAAGAGAACTTCTTCTCCACATCTATGAATTCCTAGAAGGGAAACTCTGCCTCAGTTGTGAATAAGGTGCAGTGGTTAAGAGCTTGGCTACTAACCAACAGATCAGTAGTTCAAATCCACCAGCTGCTCCTTAGAAACCTTATGGGGCAGTTCTACTCTGTCCTATAGGGTCGCTATGAGTCAGAATTGATTGCAATGAGGTTTTTTGAGTTTTAGGGGCAAACAGCCATGAAAATAGTTTTCAATTAATTTTTAAATGGAAAAGAAGAACAAAATTCTCCTAAGAATCTATCCCAAAATTGTGAGAGGAGTACTGCCTTGTTATAATAAACAGAAAACAATGTCAAAAATTAAGTGAATAGAAGTTACAAAAATAATGTCTAATAATCCTGGAGAAAGGAATATTGTTAATAACGAACCCAATCCTAAAAAGCTTTTCACAGAAAGAATTAAATACGTTGCTGTTCTAAATTTTAAAGTATTGGCTGCTAACAGAAAGGTCGGCGGTTCAAACCCACCAACCGTTCCGCGGGAGAAAGATGTAGCAATCTGCTTCCATAAAGATTTACAGCCTTGGAAAACCTAGGGGGCAGTTCTACTCTGTCCAGTAGGGTTGCTATGAGTCAGAACTGACTTGACAGCAATGCATTTTGGTTCTAAATTACATCCTGGAATTGATACTGATGCTGGCTCACAGCTATGTTTACAATAGAGAAAAGGATTTATCAGGAATAAAGTGATTTAGAAATAACTAAACATAAAAATTGGTTAAAGTCCTAAATATTGGGATAACATATATGAGATTATAACAACAGAAGTTATTATCTATGTGAGCATATTTATACTTGGAATTCTTTGCTTCTAAAGAACCATTTTCATCATCCTCTTCACAGCATGTATTATTTTCCTTTGCTATATTTTACAAGGTGAGGTATGCCTTTTGAATCTTACTTTAGAAGTCTAACAAATCCTGAGGAAATCTTTGTGAAAATACCCAGTGTGATCAGACTCTGACATCCATCCTTTATAAACCACATGCCTAGTGTTTGCTTGTGTACTGATATACATTTAATATATAATAATATACAAAATACATACAACTTTACATTTCCAAATAAAGGCAAAAATAATGTGTTCGGATAAACACACAGCCCTCTAAGATTATTTTAAGAATTGTGCAATATATTTAAGTAAAAGCATAAATATCTGAAATTTTAAAGAAAACATTTATGTTACCAGTTTAAATACTAATAGGATGTCATAAATTTCAAGTTTGGAATTATTATTTAAGGTTTAGTCAGGCCAGAAACTGTGAGTCCGTTTATATTGTATGTTAAGAGCCAACAAAGAGCACACTGTGCTGACATAAGGAAATATGGTATATACAACTGTCTAATTAGCAATAGCATCTCTGACCACAATACCTTAAAATGACACCTTGAACATAAACATTTGTTTGCACAAGTACTTTCTTGGCACCTTCTCCCTCCCCAGTCCACTCTCCCCCACTTCCCCCCCAACCCCCAACTTTCTACCTGCCATATCACATTATGGAAAATGGAAGGAAAGAACCCAAAGATTCTCCCCATAATCTCACCTTTGATTTCCTACTCTCAAATGATTGGCCTGATGAGGCTCCATTCATTTTATGCAGAGAAACTGTTCTGAGTAAGAAGGTAAATGGTTGGATGCATGGAAATGATTATTTTTCTGTGTGGTACGTGGTGGTGGTGCAGTGGAGGAGGAAGTGTTTAATGATTTTCAAGTCTGATATTAACATTCAGTTAGTAATCCTAGCATGACCACTCGAAGTCAAAAATTGAATTAGTTCTTTAATGACTCTCTAGGATATGCACATGTATTCACTTGTGCATGTCCACAAGTGTGTACTGTGTGTGTGTGTGTATGTGCATGCATGTTTTATTATGTCAGTGTCATGGTTTGAATTATGTCCCCCAGAAAATGTGTGTATCAATTTGGCTAGGCCATGGTTCCTGGTACTGTGTGATTTTCCTGTATGTTGTAAACCTGCCTCTGTGATGTTAATGAGGGAGGACGGGTGGCAGTTGTGTTAGTAAGGCAGGACCTGATCTACAAGACTGGATTGTGTCCTGAGGCAATCTCTTGAGATATAAAAGACAGAAGTGAGCAGTGAGACTGAGGGACCTCATAACATCAAGAAAGCAGTGCCAGGAGCAGAGCGCGTTCTTTGAACTGGGGTCCCTGCACAGAGAAGCTCCTAGTCCGGGGGAACACCGAAGAGAAGAAGGCCGACAGAGAGAAAAAGCCTTCCCCTGGAGCTGACACCCTGAATTTGGACTTTTAGCCTACTTTGACTGTGAGGAAATAAATTTCTCTTTGTTAAAACCATCCACTTGTGGTATTTCTGTTATGGCAGCACTAGATGACTAAGACAGTATCATAAGAAATGAGTTACCTACAATAAGCTCCCTTGGGACAAGCATGTTTACAACTCCTTTTCTTTGTAATATACTTTGAACGAATGGGTAGCATCTGGAAATGCTAATACCTTGTGTAAAGGGTTATTTATATTCATGAAAACAATGTAAGAGATTGGAAATAGACAGGCTCTAAATTGCAGAGCTGAGAATTGTTTCACTAGGACAGTGGAGGAATAATGTGTTCTTCATTCCATCTATAAATCCTTGATACTCCAAAAGAAAAACAGGCAAAGGAAATACCATACACACACACACACACACACACACACACACACACACACACGACCATACATGAACATTTACGCCTCATCAAAAATCTTTAGAAGTGCAAATTAAAATGAAATATAATTTCTATCAAAAAGATCTTTCAAAGTATTATTCTCATTTTAAGAAAGGATGCTGTCAAATAGATACATATTGCTAGTGGGACATATACCAAAAGCCCTGAACATTTTCATACCCTTTCATTAAGGACACTTAAGTAGTACTTATACTACTTACAGGAGTTATTCTAAGGAAATAATTTGAAATGTGGACAAACCCTTATGTATAAAGTAGTCATCACAGCATTGACAATAAATACATATATATATGAGTATGTACGTGTGTGTGTGTGTGTGTATACCAGTTGCCATCGAGTCGATTCCGAGAAAAATTAGAAACAAACCAAAGGAGACTAAATTATAGTATATCCATCTTGATGGAATATTTTAGACCTACTGAATTCATGTTT